TTTATGACTGCCAAGTACTGAAGGGTTATCAACAGAATCTATGAAAGTGCCCATAATCATGCAAACCGAAAACATAAATTGCTTGAGTTTGCTGCCATATAGTTTATGTAAATAGTAAAATGGTTTTTCTTCAACACTTCCTATCCTTTTTATCAGATCTATGCAATTTTCACAAATGTTCCAAATGAATTCCAATCCAAAATCGATTTTGAATTTAAGTTGCATCCTTCGGCGAGTTGCGCACATTTTTTCATCTTTTTAATACTCTTTATTTGTTAATCCGTTTGTCTGGGTGTTAGCCAAAAAACTACCCCACTTAACTCTCAAGGGTTCGACATTAGCTTACTTACACTGCGGAAAAAAATTCGCCCTATTTTACAAAGTTTTTTTCTATTTCTTTTTTTTAACGATTTCTGTTATTAAGATATAAAATTCTAAATAGTAAAAGTGATAACATATAAGAGAATCCTTCCTGGAAATAATAATAAATAAATAGAAAAACACAACTTTACACTTTAAAAAATACACTTTTTAGCGAAAAAAGTGATTTACTCTTGGCGATTTTCGAAAATTCGGAGAGAATATTTTTCTATATAATCACATATTTCTATATATTTACTGACTTCAACAAATCGATATTGATTGCCCAGATCCCTTTCAAATGAAAAATTGGGGGCAATTATTAAAAGAAACCTGGCAAATGACCCACAAACTACTACGTGTAGTTTACCATTAAAAAAAAGTCGGAAAAGTTGGTACTTTCTTTCTCCACAAAACTGCGGTCATTTTTTAAAAATATATTATGGAAAAACGAAATAATGCTTTTATTGATATTAAGCGAGGTGTTAATTATTTATAATTAAACCATATTTTTGGTGTATGAAATTAACAACGAGTTTTCGTGTGCCAACAATGTGATTTAATTTATAATACTTTTTTTTCAATTTTTTTTTATATATGCGAATCCGGTTGACTTTTAATACGATTTTAAAGTTAATTAAAAAAAAAGTATAAGCTTGTCTGTGTAATCAGCCCGTACACATAAATAAAAGCCACAGAAAGTTCAACTATCAGAAAAGCGCTTGATGTACGTATATAATTACAGTATATTCAATTACATTGAACTATCTGATCGTTACTTATTTTAATGCGATTTCTTGTGTGAACTGTGAACTGTGAACTGAACCCGAACCCATGCACTCAAACCACTGATGGATATTTGTTTTTAATTATGCCACATTTGATTGCATTTACACAGTCAGAAAAAAATTGGGTCCTCGCTGGCGACATGCGAAATCAAATAAAATGAAATTAAACAAAACAAAATGCAATAATAACCGCAAAAATGCAATTTAAAACAAATCTAATTCGAAGGCAGCCAGCCGCACAGTGAAGTCTCTGCCCAAACGAACGCTGCCAGTGCATATTGTTTTTGTGTTCAAATGTACCTTGCCACACCGTGCAACAGATTTGATTTAATTGCCGATGATTCTGGCATTGTAGAGTATATCTAATGGTTAATTTGGGGCTATTAAACGATTAGCGGATATTAATTTTGCTGCTAAATGCATTTCGAATAGTGAAAATACAATATTTTGTGGTTTGAAGGCCTCACTGTGCCTGTGTTGCTCGGTTACATGCAACGCCACACCATGCATCGTATGCATCGTCCCACGATAATTTTTAATTAAAAGCGCGACTTTTGAGGCCTTGGCCCACAAAACAGTAGCTGCATAAATTGCATTAGTAAACTTTTAATACGAAAAATTTCGGAACGAATTTAATTAGTGCAAATAGACAAACAAGCGCGCATCCGATTAACATCAACGACAATACAACATCAACAGCAAATCCAAATTAAAATTAATAAATTTAAAATTGGATGCAGCGTCAACTCCATCAACAATTCTTGACAGCTGGCTGACAAGCAGTAACACAAATTTCCAATTGTCGAGCACCAAGCCCCAAAATGCATATTATACAAATGCACACAAACACACACACACACACATGTGGCATGTGTGTGCATGTGTGCATACATATATTAATATGCATAAATGTGTGGCGAGGCATAAGCACTCGAAACCAAATAACCCAAATAATGCCAAGTCATACAAAACATGACAAGTGGCAACTTGTGCAGTCACATCCTGCAATTAGGTGTATCGTGTTCTATCTCCTGCCAATTTAACGGCATATTGACTGGGTCAAGGACATTGCCACAGCTGTGACATTATGACAAAGGTGCCAGAATATATACGTCATCGTTATTTATTTATTTGCATAGCCTGGCTGAAAGCTTACAACTTAAAAGCTAGTTGGGAATGGCAAATCAGATGCCTTGAGCTGAGCACTTAATGTTTAAATAATTAATATTAATACAGTAATTATTATGCATTATATTATGTTATTAATTATTACATTCAACAGCGTACTTAGCCCCTCCACCCTCTACCACCCCCTATGTACGCCCTTGATTTGCATTATATGCATTATTGATCCTGATCAAGAACATATATACATAAGGTATATATATTCATGATCAGGATCAACAGCCTAGTCGATGTAGCCATGTCTGTCTGTCTTTAAAAGTCAATGAATTTTAGAAATTCGTCATACTTTTCGCGACATTTCAGAAAGAAAATTCCTAAAAATTTACGGTTTTGGATGGGTCGACTTTTCTAAAATTTGGAAAGAATGTATCTAATTTCCAAGGTGTTGCTTTCTATGTGTGTATATTAAAGAATTGTTATATTTTCAAAAATAACTTCCAAAGACAAGAAAAACTTTCTAATTTTTATGGCGATTTTAATTTTAGGGCGATTTTTTCAATTTCATGGCGTACACAACAAATTTAAATGCCCCCGTTTCGTAAATATCGATAAATATCGATTTCTGATAGTAATAAAGCGGACAACTTTAACGGTAAGGCTTTTCAATTAAAATATATATTACACTGGCATCTTAGCGATCAGCTGCACTAATAAAATCAATATCGGATTAGTCCAAAATGTATATATATGCGCTGCTTCACTTCAGTACCTGTGCTGGCACAAGAAATGAGAGCAGTACCATGCATGCTTACATTTGTGTATGCATTACTTTTTAAAGGGTAATTTGACACTAAAACTTAAATACATTTAACGAGCTCTCTCGACTCGAACATTCTTCTTCTTGCTTTCACATTTTTAATTTGTGTACAAGTTGATTTTAAGTAAAATCTTTAGAGTGTCCATTGTGCGTCGTAGTCCGAGTCTTATTATTTTGGTCTGGTCCATTCTCATTAAGGTTAATATGTGTTTTCATGGGCGTAGCCAGGAAAAGAGACCTTATTTCACTGGCACCCTAGCTGAGAGAGTCGCAGTCTGCTTCTTGTTGGAGTCATTTTCATCAATGTCCTGTACTCGCAGTACATTAGTTTACATCAACTTGAAGAGCCACATTGACCATTATATTCACAAATTATTCATAACTTCGACTACATATATAATGCGTTTAAATAGAAAACTCACAATATGAAATCTCCGTACCAAGTTCACAAAATTTAGGTGTAAACTGATGAAATTTGTGCTGCAAGAGTATGTAATCTTATTGTTTAATATTATTCACGTTCTATACAATAAGTTAATAAGTTATTTTGAACATTAAACATGATTAGTTTTAAAGGCAAGTTTTTCCTTATACAACAACAATTTAACTCAAGTTAGAAATTAATATCTACAGCTGAACATTAATATAATAAATATAAATAAATTGCATAAAAATGTGTGAGTGGGTGTAGGTAGACAATTTGAGTGTTTTCATGCAAATAAAACAAAATAAACAACGGATATTCTGAAATGCATTCAACAGATTTTAGTCAAACATGAAACGAAAAGAGAGAGCATCAGCACATATCACTGCAGAGTGAGACACAGTGAGGTGAATAAATGCCCGAAACAATGGTGAGATTATTATGCCAGCCGTAATTTCACCATGCTCAGAGCCAACAAGTGCTTAAAATACATTGTTTACAAAATGTAAATAATCTCTGGGAGAATGTTTATGCAAGACAAATGCAGCCGTTTCGGAATTATTCTCTATTCGGTTTTAGAAAAGGAGTATCTCTCGCTTGAAAAAAACAAGTGAATATATGAAACGTCAACTTCAATTCGTGGTATTTCATTTTAACTTACTCACATTTTAAATATAGTATTTCAATAATCCATTTTTTTAGGTTTCATCCATCTCTTCTTGATATATTTCTTGTCATCTTAATTATTTTGCGTATTTTTGCTTATGCAAAAAGTGTTGCGACTTACGGCATTTGAGTCCTGGAGTTAACGAGTTATGAGGAATATGTCGATTGCTTTACCATAAACCGATTGTTGCTCGCATTCTGCGCAAGTTCAAATGTTGTGCTTAAGAAGAAGAAGCATACATTGATTGATGGCAAAAACAGTTAAGTTCGCGTTTGAAAAACAAGGAACAAAAGTGATTTTAATTAGCAGCTAAAAGAGTTATGAAGACAATTTGCAGATCATTGTCATTGATACAACTAAAATGCGTTCAGAATTAAAAACATATATCATTAATTTTATGTACAATATTTCTGGAGTTTATTCTTTTGTAAAATGATTTGCCAAATGTTGAGCAGCTTTTGAGCGGATTTGCGTATGTTAACGCAATTTGCTCATAACCAGCTGATGGCGCAATAACAGGGTGGCTTCCATGTTAAATGTGCTTTTACTTTTGGAGCAATGGTGTGGACAGCTAACTTATGGTATTAAAATATTAAAATATATATTAAAAAAATTAATTTTAAAATTATTTTATGCTGTTAAATAACTTTTTTTTAAATAACTGTTTGATTCTCAACAGAACATATGATTCATTTAGCGTCATTTACAGTGGAAATCGATACATCGAAGCAAAACATTTTAAAGCAAAAATACTACAATGAAAAATAATCGATAGACTAGCTGAGCCGATAAGTCCATCTACAATTCAGTTGAAAAATATTCATTGTACAGAGCGGACGCGAGATTCATATTTGACTTGTAGCCGGCATTTTACGCGCGTTCCGTAGTATTTACATCGTAAGCGACGCGCGCAACAGAGACGTAAACACGTAAACACAACGGTAATGCGTTACATGCGATCACTGAGCCTGTAGCCTGCAATTCAATAAAAATAGACACGCTCGTCCATGCGTAATTTAATACACACACACACACTAGCAGATTGTGTGCGTGTGCTTGCTGTTGTTCTTATTCCGATGTTTTTTTGTTTTCGTTTTGTCTTAGTGCAATTTTCCCCAAGTGTACTTGGGAGCGTGTTTGTGTGTGCTTTTTTGTGATTGTGTGTGAGCACTGCCAATGTAGAATTGTTTCAATTTGAATGGCGGGCGGCGATCTCTGAAGGTGAACCAGCTGCTCGCTTAACATGTTTTTGGACAATTTAATTATAATTCAAGTGCAAACCTTTTTGTTGTTATTTTTTCTATGCGCAATGACGTCATTGGCGATCAGCAGCAGCACAACACACACACAGTTATATCATTGCTAATAACGATGAATCATCTCGATCGGTTTGCTTTACTATTGTAACTACTGTAGCCACAAACATGTTTGATCAAGTTCAATGCTAGCAGCCATGACGTCAGATTATCAACTTTGCTCATGAGCTCATGCAATATATATATATATATGTATATACAAAGATGTATCTATGTATATGGAAAAAATACTAAGTTTACAAGCATTGTTTCCGACATATTAACAAACAACAGCAGCAACAACAATCGATTGTGCTTATCAGCTGATAATGGGAAATTGTTCAAGGCACACAAGGATAAGATAAGATTCAAATATGTAGATACTCACCACACGCACACACACACACATATAAGTGCAGTACGAAAATGTGCACAATGTGATAAAAGTTGTAGTTGGCAATACTTTGGCTGTTGTTTTTTGCTTATTTTTTGTGTCGCTTTTGTTTTTTTGGTGGCCTTTCTATTTTTTCTCTTGTTTTAAGCAATATTTACAAGCTGTCAGTTTTGTATAATTGTAGAGCAGAGCAGTATAAAAAAAAACAAAGCTCTTGAGTATAACCGGTTAAAATAAAAAAAAATAAACAAAAATAGCAACAATAAACAACAGGTGAGTTTCTATCGCGCTATTTTCTAATTGCTGGGGTTGACAGCAGGGGGGTTGATATGGGGAGGGGGACACTATACTTTCACTTGTAGCCGAAGTTAAATACATCAACAAATTGGACGCGATTTGTGCTGAATTTAATAGAAGAAAACAAATACCGCGTTGGAAGCGCGCGCGTTTTAAATCGCCTCGTTCCTATTTGAATTTCCAGTGCATATCAAATTGTACGCGAAGCATTCCAAACTGTTTGCACATATTTCAAGTTTATCGTTCATTGTTCGGGTTAAGTTTATCTAAAGGAAGTTCCGCTGTTCAGATTTTTGCCAAAAATAGTAATGCATAAATATATAACTATAAATACATATAATATGGAACTATACATATATATATTGAATTTGAGCAAGTTTTTCGACAATTTTTGATGGAGCGAACTAGCGAAAATGCGGCTGCATGATCTCATTTTGCAGGCAATTTAAACAAACCAAAAAAAAAAAAAATCAAAAATCGCAAAATAAACACTGCTTATTTCAAACAATTTTCGATTTCGTTTAATTGAATTCGATACGGACATGATTGAATTTTGTTAACTAGTTGTACCTATTTATAATTGTAATCAGTCCAGATAATTATCATATGTAAAACAATTAGCAATAAAAAAAAAGCCATTTAGCATTTGAATATTGATAGTAAAATGCATTGCAGATCAAGTAGCTATACTGGGTACAAATAAATACAAAATCTAACCTGAATAGGAAAAACCATAATGTAGCAAAACTGATTGATCTGAACGTAATGCAAGAGGTGAAAACAAGGTTAATAGCAAAGTGATTGCAAATGTGAAATGAGAAATACAACTCGAATTCAATTCAAAAGCAGTCGAATATTTGTATTAAAAGTATTTCATTTGAATAAACGCGTTTTAAAACACTATATGCAAAAGAATTGTCTTTGCTTTGCTATGGAATTGAGGTGGTTAAAAAAAAGTCCTACATTTCAATAATTCTCAAAAAAATAGATATATATATATTTATATATATATATATATATATATAGTCCAATTAAGTATCGATTTATTTTCTGAGTGGAATATAGTCCAGTTTAATACACAATCAACTTTTATTTACTTTCAACCCATCATCCATGATTTTTGCTTCTTTTTGCGACACCTGAACGACAATTTTATATTTTTTTCTTTTGGGTTGTGTGCGGTTCATTCAACCGGGCACTGTTCGGCCAATTTCGAGCGCAGTGATTTTAAAAATAATTTGAACTGTGCATTTGGTTTTTTATATTTCTTTGCTTTTTTTTCGTTTTGTAATTTTACATGTGGAATGAGGCGCGTATGCGGAATGTGTGTGTGCCACAATTGCTGTAAATTGATATGGAATAAACTATATGCAAAGGCGGCGGCATTGTCTGTGTGTGTGTGAGTGTGAGTGTATGTGTATGTGTGAGTGTAACCTCATTTGCAAGGCGACAATCAAATGCAATTTGAGATTAGCAGCACATCCAGCCATGTGTGTAGGTCGACGTCTGGAGACTGCAAGATAGGGTGACTCTGCAGCTGTGTCGTCATTCATTGGAAAGTTGTTTGAAATCAAAATCCAAAATCAACTTGCAATGCATCCCAGATGAGCACTCAAACAATTTTTGTGGAAACAGTTGATTCCAAGTGGCAACCTGTATAGATATCTCTTCATGCAACATGTTCTACACCCCAATTGCCAATAATTTATTATACATATGTTATGGATTCGATGCGATGCCTTGACCAATTATGACCACAATTAACAACCTGCCCCTCCCAACCCTCCACGCAACCGCACTATAAAATGGGTCACACTAGCAAGAGGTGCATGATGAAGAAACCCACCACAAACACCCATTTTGAGCAAAGGGAAAAAAAACCCCTTACTGGTGCTGGAGGAATGGGGTTGGCCCAGTTTGTTGTGGTCCTAAAACTGTCGGATCGACCATTTGCCAAGTCGTCTAACGTCTGATTTATGGGCCAGAGCCCCAGAAAATACAATACAAAAAAAAAAACAAAACGCATCGCATCGCATGCAAGGCGCCCATCAACAAAGTGCAAACCAACTAGCCAATATTGGTCGGCTTATTTCAACCAATTTTGTTGTATGGGAAGAAAAGAAAGAAACCCGACTCAAAAGGGTATATTGATTGTATGCCTGTCTCCGTCTTCAAGTGCGGCTAATAAATCTAACAAATATACCAAATATGCCTTACAATCATAGATTAGATTGCGTTCGGCTTTACGCTGTAATTTTTCCTTGGTCTAAGTATTCTGATAATAGGTTTTCTAATGAAATATATCACCTTTTTTGCGATACTCGTTTGTCCGATTTACGTTTGCAAAAAAAAACGCGAAAATAGTTCATTTATAATCCAGTGGCTTAAAAATCATCTTGTAGTTTGTTTTAGCAAACCCAAACTCCAAAAAATTATCAAGAAATCGTTCTAATAACAATCTGCATTTGCTGAAGGATTTTACACCCATCTCCTCCGATTCATGAAAAATAAAATCCTAACAAAGGGTTTCTAAAACCACTTGCAAAAAGTTGTCTTCACTATGGGAAAGTAAAAAATAGCAAATGTATTAAAAAAATCAATTGAAAATTCGAAGAGTTTTGATAAATTATACTTAAATATATTTTATTTATTTCATTTCAGTCACTGCCCAAAGTTTCATGATCAAGATCGTTTTCAATATCTCAACATAATTTTCTTGAACCATTTACTCAGTTATTCTTCAGTTGTGCACAGGGTATTTCCCTGTCGACTATTGCTCACGGCTTCCATTTAATATGTGGTTCGCGTGCACATTCCGTTAATGCAATCATGCAAGGGGTCTGGGTCTGGGCAGAGGTGGTGTTTTTCAGCATATTAAATGGGGGGCGACTTCTTGCAATTGGCTTTTTACTGAGACCCACGCAAAGTGTGTCACATTTCTATGGGCCTTGGTGGGGTAGGAGTGAGAGTGGGAGAGGGAGAAACAGTTAATGCAGCTTACGCACTTTAATTTATCCGCTGGCCATCTGTGAAGCTGACGCACTGACTCATTTGCCAGCTATTCATTTGGTGACGAAATCTTTACCCCAATACTTAAATCGAACGTACAAAAACAACAACAAAAAGACGCCTAAGATTTCAGCATCGCAGTCTGTGCTATTGTCCAGGGCATGGCGCCAACAACTATATCAACATAATGATCATCATGATCGGCATCGCATCCGATCTGTCGCCCACTCGAAGTTTGTTCAGCTCTGTGCTCAAAATTTATTAATACAAAACGAAAACTGAAGAATTGAGTTCCATGTGCGCTGCTTTTTTAACTCAATCGACTCGATTTGGCGTGGCAAAAACTATGCGCACACACAACAAATTATCTGACGAAAGATATGTCTATATATATATATATATATATATATATATGTAGGTTATCATTCATATGCGGCAGCCTAAGACAAACACTTTTATTTGGCACATTGCTCAATTTACGCAAGACTATCATTTGGGAGGTACTCTAGAATCTAGACAGACCGTCGCTGTCGAGACAGCTTTCAAATTTTCATTTTGAATATTGTAAACAAACCAGCAGACGAGGCGAGAAGTGTGGGGGGATAGATTGTCGACCAGAGAGTAGGGCCAGAACCGTTTTGTGGCATAGGGAAACACACTAAACGACAACGGCAACAACTGTGAAACGAGGTAAGAGATCTGTGGCAATCGAGCTGATCTGGGGTCAGAGGCATCACATCTATGAGAGGCTAGATGTCTCTTAGACATTGTGTCATCTTAGCTATTAGAAGCTGTATCCTAGGGAAACATATCTTAAGCTCGGCAGAATGAACCCGATAAAAATTCTCGAATTCATTGAAGAAAAATTGAGAAGGAAAATAATTCATTTCTTTTATTTCTGATTATTCATTACTTATTTGTATACCCTTGAGGATATAATAATTTT